AGCCGAGGGGCCCACATACACAGCCAGAAGGAGCACAGACACAGCCAGAAGGGGCACAGACACAGCTGAAGAGCCACAGACACAGCCGAGGGGCCCACATACACAGGCAGAGGGCCACAGAAACAGCCGGAGAGCCACAGACACAGCCGGAGAGCCACAGACACAGCCGAAGGGTCCACAGACACAGCCGGAGAGCCACAGACACAGCCGAGGGGGCCACAGACACAGCCGAGGGGGCCACAGACACAGCCGAAGGGTCCACAGACACAGCCAGCCAGAGGCTTCCTTCCGGACCGCTCGGCGTCTCATTCATTCATTCATCTCTCATCTAGACTGAGAGCCGTAAGAGAGCTCCCTCAAGACCATGTTAGTCAACCAGGTTAAAATATTCATCTTTCCTTTGTCTTGCAACTGTGAACTCAACAAACAGATGTGTGTGTTTTGCCTGTGGCTTGATGTACATATGGGTGATATGTACATCACCCATATGTACATATGGGTGATGTACACCCATATGTACATCACCCATACATGTTTTTTCTTGCTGTCTGTATTTCCATGTCAATTCTTTGTAGATTTAGTTAGGACTTTGAAAACAATGTTTTGACTAAAGTTTCTGCCATATAAGTGAACCTTTTAAAGTTGAAAGATCAGAGGTTATTTTGAGCTCTTAGCACTTAGAACGTGGATTGGCTGGTACGATTTCCTGACAATTCGGGGAAAGAGTGGAACAATCCCCTGCCAATACAACGAAGGATTGGTACAATCGCATGGCAATACAGCGAAAGATTTACTGGTAACTTACCTCCTCTCTCCTCCCCCTCTTCCCCATCAGAGTGGGCTGGAGGAGACATATAGCAGTCGTTTGCAACTGTTAGAGTTTCTCGGTTCATTTGTGCTCGCTTGGCGGATCATTGCTTATGGGTTATCTTAAGGTTATCTTAAGATGATTTCGGGGCTTTTAGTGTCCCCGCGGCCCGGTCCTCGACCAGGCCTCCACCCCCAGGAAACAGCCCGTGACAGCTGACTAACACCCAGGTATCTATTTTACTGCTAGGTAACAGGGGCATAGGGTGAAAGAAACTCTGCCCATTGTTTCTCGCTGGCGCCTGGGATCGAACCCAGGACCACAGAATCACAAGTCCAGCGTGCTGTCCGCTCGGCCGACCGGGTTATCAGAGACAAAACTGAACAAGAAAAATACTTGAGACAAAGTGTAAAAAAAGACATTATTCAAACCCCTATTTAATTGTGGACAATATTTTCATAATTATTATTTATATAATTAACATTTATCGATCGAAACTTATTTTTCTAGCGATATTAAAGAATCTATTTTTGAATTATTTAATACAAACAGAAACATAGACACTATGTCCTTCACTGATGTGTTTAAAACTACTTTTTTGTTATTTGTGATATGGGTATCTACTTAAATTTACGAAGCACAAATACACATGTTATATACATTCTCATATATACTTGTTTATACATATATAAATGATAAAAAAGATCAGAAACACCGATGCCAAATCAATGGGAAAGACCTGAGAGTAGTGGATTTGACTTGAGTGCGCTTCTGCACTCAAAATATGCTCTTCATCTAAAGCAATGTGAGCAGAGTGCCTCCGACGAGGAGCTCATCTTGAGCTCAAAAGCGCACTCAAAGTCTCCTCCGTTCAGATGTAGTTATTTGGCACATATATGAAAATGCACATATATATACACATGTGAATATGCACATATTTACTTACTAATAAGAATATACGTTTAAAAATACCCAAATAAATAATAATAATAATAATAATAATAATAATAATAAAACACGAACAAAGACAATCTAGCAAATACAGCATGAGGGGCACACCTAATAAAGATGTAAATATATGCTAATTACAACAGGAAACTGTGCAGCTCATTCGGCGCCTTAAGTGATAAAAATCATACATGACTTATACATATTGTAACGATTGTATACATTGTGAGGTTTCGTAAATAATATTAGAACTTTGAGGCCATACACAATTAGAAGATGTTGACATGTTGACTTAGACATAGAAAAAGGTAAAATATGCAGTAATTATATATATATATATATATATATATATATATATATATATATATATATATATATATATATATATATGTTGTACCTAGTAGCCAGAACGTCGTACTCGGCCTGCTATGCAAGGCCCGATTTGCCTAATAAGCCAAGTTTTCCTAAATTAATATATTTTCTCTAATTTTTTTCTTATGAAATGATAAAGCTACCCATTTCATTACGTATGAGGTCAATTTTTTTATTGGAGTTAAAATTAACGTAGATATATGACCGAACCTAACCAACCCTACCTAACCTAACCTAACCTATCTTTATAGGTTAGGTCGCCGAAAAAGTTAGGTTAGGTTAGGTGTGGTAGGTTAGGTAGTCGAAAAACAATTAATTCATGAAAATTTGGCTTATTAGGCAAATTGGGCCTTGCATAGTAGGCTGAGAAGTGCGTTCTGGCTACTAGGTACGACATTATATATATATATATATATATATATATATATATATATATATATATATATATATATATATATATATATACACACTTATTTAAGTCGACACTATTAACCTCTGGAGGGTTATTAAAGACACCACAAGTGCTTATACTGACCAACCAGAAATTTACTTTAATCCACAGCTCAAAACTAAAGCAAAGACATAGCTTTATGTCTGGAGCATAGACATAGCTCAAGACCAAAACAAACTCTCAGTGTATATACACCGAGCAGCGGGGTATAATATCTTATATATTATAATACCTCTACGTATAATATCACCTCCGTAAAGAGAATCTTACCCCACGGGGCGAGTCTGGCGTAATTCACAAAATACGCAATTTTATGAGTCGGATTCTGAGCATTATTCCTAAAAAATCGAAACAGTTGTGGGTGGTGAAAATAAATATATAAAATTTTTTTTAATACAAAATGTATATTCCATACACTGATCTAGTAAGTTTAGAATTCTTAATTCAATATCTACGAGGCAATCTTAAGATGTTCTAAGTTGGTGAGTCTAGGGTGATACTTGAGTTCAAGTGCCTCTCAGTTGTCAAGTTCTCAGTCATTAGTTATAAAGAGTTATCTCGCAATATAAGCCAGGGATAAGAATTCCATTAGAAAAGTTTAGAAACTGACTTAGAAGCTTAGAATGCTTAGAGCATGTTAGAAGCTACTTATCTTTGGAGAGTAACTCGTTCAAGCTACCTCAGAACTTGCTTCACTACGTTTTCTGTGGAACTCATTTGTAAACACACGCTGGCAAAGATGCGGTCTATCGAAAACGGAGCAAGAGTGTGTGAGCTGAATTAAATGACAGATATGCAAATTTCTTCTTTTTGGGCACAAATCCAGCCTATTTTGTAGGCGTTTATTGTATTATATTCGTTTTGTGGATATTGTTGGATCAACGAGTTATATTCTGTGTTGTGATTCTCGAATTTGTTTGATGTTTACGTGATATTATAATTTAAATAGCGAATATACATAAACTATTTTTCATTATTTTAAATGCTTTTCCTGAGAGGTGAAATGCCATAGTTAATACGGCCGTTTACCCATATGTTATTACATATTTGTATTACTTAATAACCTAAATAATATATTTTTGTACGCGATGTCCGGTATTTTTTTTAATATATCATATATACATTTAAATCTGAGTTATTGATACCCCTTATTGCCTGCTGCAGGAGAGGCTGCATTCTTTTGGTATTCCCTGTCTCCTAACATATATTGTGTGCTTTATGTGTGTTTTAACATTTTTACACATTACACATACATACAGTCTGGCTATCAAAAGGATAGCCAGATAGCCAGTCAGTCAGGAGCACAGTCACCAGCCATCCTTGCCATGAATCAGTTAGTCATACAGTTAGTATGCCAGGCAGCAGCCATAAGGGAAGACAGTCAGCAGTTATCTAGACAGAAAAGCAATCACCAGCAAGCCAGGAAGACAGGCAGTCTACCAGTCTATTCAGAGAGCCAACATGTTGCGACTTGAGAATGGTCCAGGACGGACCGAAACGTCGTCGTCCCTTCAACTTCTAGTGTGTGGTCTGGTCAACAGCCAACATGTTAAAGAACCAGCCGACCATCCAGCAACCATCCACGCTGCTGTCAGCCAATAGACAGTATCCATCGAGCACGTCAAAACAGACCGACAGACGGACGGAGTGGTACACACAGAGGTCAACTAATGGACGGACTCCAAAACCGGACATAAAACACAAATAAGCTTTTTTTTAAAAAAATACTACATAAACACCAGTTTAAAAATCCATGCAACTTCTGCCGGGATGGAGAGTTTGGAGATAAAATATTCTCGAAAGTATAAAAAAAAAATTAGTTTTTTGTTATAATTTTTCCTCTCTTATCAATAAAGCATTTTCTGCACCTGTTCAGGGGTGAAGGTGGGAACGTTTTGGTACTCAGAGGAGAGAGAGGAGAGTAGAAGGTTAGAAGAGGGGAAGTAAATAGGGAAGAATAGGTCTATCCATAGGAAAGAGTTTGCTTCAAGACCGTTGAAAGATAAGTCCCTTGCAGATAAGGAAAGGAATTGGTCTTATGTTGGGATGTCATTTCTTTTAAGGGGTAGGGGGTTGGGGGGGAGGGAAAGGGAGGGGGGAGGGGGGGGGAAGGGGGGGTTAGCCATGAGGTGGGTGAGCATCAGGGGGTCAATTCGAAATGGAGGTGTCAACCCTACAAGAAAAATCAACTTAAAGATAATACAAAAAATCAGTTTTAAGATGGAGACGAACAACCCAAGGGGGCCAGCTTCACCCTCGTGGGGTAGGGAGGTGTGCCAGGGTAAGACCCTAGGGCAAGAGGGGTCAACATGATGGGGAGGAAGGGAGGATAAGGGGAGAATGAGGGGAGAGAGGAGGGGTTAAGGGGGAGGGGAGAGAGGGGGGAAGAGAGGGTTGTACCATGCGCCAGCCGTCAGTGTCTCGCCAGACGGCCTGCTGAGAGGTTGGGTGCAGTGTCTCTCTCATTGCCTGGTACCCCAGTGTATAACATTAACTCTAAACCTACTAACCGGCATATCGGTGTCGCCCGCTGTACCATACAGTGGTCGCTTAACCAGTGCTCGACGCTTGTACAACATTTCCTCCTCTGTACCGGCCTCTTCTACACTACACTAATCATTTCCTGTATCACTGTACAGCGCTTCGTCCATACTGTACCGGCGTCTGATTCTTAACTGTAACTTTGTACCCACTTAAGAAGTGTACCGATCCACCCGCCTTCATGTGAAGAACCTTGTGTGTATGTGTATGTGTATGGGTGTAAGAGTGTGTATGAGTGTGTATGGGAAGTGTTACATATTTGTGTTTAAACAATATTAATGAAAATATAAACTAAAAGTAAAAAAAAACATAATCATGTTAATTTAATAAACAAAATTGAAAAACAATGTCTCGGCAAATATACATAAGATGAACAAGATATCTATACACCAATTTAATGAAAAGGAACAAGAGTTATACATAGTTATACACCTTGTATATAGATATGTATAACTTTTACATAGAACAAGAGTTATATATATACCCTGTGTACTTGTTAAATTAAAAACATACAACTAGCAGTACAAAAAAAGTAGGGAACAAACAAGAAACTGGAAATAGACAATAAACAAGAAACTGGAAGTAGACAATAAACAAGAAACTGGAAGTAGACAATAAACAAGAAACTGGAAGTAGACAATAAACAAGAAACTGGAAGTAGACAATAAACAAGAAACTGGAAATAGACAATAAACAATAAACTGGAAGTAGACAATAAACAAGAAACTGGAAGTAGACAATAAACAGCAAAGAAACAACATCAAAGAAAAACACCAAACAAGGTGTTAAGAACAAACATACCAAGGATCCAAGAAGCACACACAAGCAAACAATGAACAAACAACAGCAAACAAACTGATCGAGGCACTGGAATCAATTAGGTAAGTGCTTGACATGTTGCCAGTCTCATAATATGTATAAATATACATGAATGTATGACAAACTGGTTGTATTAATCATCGAATATGTATTATGCTAATTTTTCGAAACATGAATCTTGGTATTATACACTTGGGCGTCAATACATTACATTTTGGAATGTATACCATTATGTATAACCATTATCTATATAAATCATACACGATTTTACACAATATTATGTTATATACTTATTTTTTTAAACAATCACTAGAAATATTTTCAGGTTTGCAAACCAGAACTGCACATTTTTTCTATCGTTATGTATAGCAATGAGGGGAGTCTGTATTTTTATTAAATAATATTGCTAGTTTCTAGTCATACATTTACATGTTATTTTTGAATGGTTGAAGTGACAGTACGAGATTGACTTGTTACTAAAATTCATTCCATAATTTTTGCATATTTTTTGCGTATTTCGGGGAAGGTAAGATGGTGGAAATTGCGATGTTCGTGCAGAATGAACATCTATCTGATAGAATTGTCCCACCTCTTGTATGAGAGTGTGTTCTTGAGGAAGGGGACTCGCAGAGAAGCTAAAAGGGCGGGCAGGAGGATTTGCAGTTTCTGAACGTTGTAGAATTACCTGAATTTGCAGGCGATGAGTCACAATAACGTGGCTAAAGTAAGTTGACCAGACCACAGACTAGAAGGTGAAGGGGCGACGACGTTTCGGTCCGTCCTGGACAATTCGTGGTCCGTCCTGGACCATCCTGGACCACTCTCAAGTCAATCGACTTGAGAGTGGTCCAGGACGGACCGAAACGTCGTCGTCCCTTCACCTTCTAGTGTGTGGTCTGGTCAACTTACTTGAATTTACCCGAGGGGGTCACTAACACTAGTGGCCTTGACCAGGACAAGAAGCTAGCGGCTTGTCGACGATCCCCCCCCCCAAATTTGCATTGATGATCTTTACTAGTTGGACTTTAAAATTTAACAGATTTTTGGCATTCACGGCTTCGGCAGGTAGGCGGTTCCATGGGTTTATAACCCTGTGGATGAAAAAGTATCTCCTGTGCTCTGTCCTACATTGTGGCTGGTAGAGCTTGAAACCGTTGCTCCCAACCATTTGGGCTGGGCGGTTGAGCGACGGCCTCGCTTCGTGCAGGTCGGCGTTCAATCCTCAACCTCCAAGTGGTTGGGCACCATTCCTTCCCCTTGTCCCATCCCAAATCCTTATCTTAACCCCTTCCAAGTGCTATATAATCGCAATGGCTTGGCCCTTTTCCCCCTGATAATTCCCTCCCCTTCCTTGTTTGTGTTACATCAAACCTGTTGAAGAAATTGTCCGGATCAACATCTTCCAAATAGTTCAGTAGTTTAAAAATATCAGTGAGATCCGCCCTGTCATATATACACACCCCAGCCTCCTCTCTTGTGTGTTGCAGAGTCCAATGGATTGGAATATGTCCCATATGTACTTATTTATAAGCCAAATAGTGACTATAAGCAATAAGTCATACATGTGCTATCTTGTGCGAGAGCGGGTTGCAAAGTCCGCATGTACGGAATTGAGTACGTCAACTCTGCTTATCACTAAATGCGCTGCTCTATCTTCACTTTGGTGGTTGTGGCGTGTCAAACAATCCTTAACATCTAGGTGATGCGCTGCCCTTCGTCAACAAGCTACTTACCCAGCTCATTTGGCTCTAATATTTGTCACATATATTGTGACGGAACATTTCCGTCAACACCCATTCGTAACATGGCAATAGACGGGTTGTATATGTCTGTGTTTATTTTTGTCTTACGACCGGGCGAAGTGTTTAGAGCTTCCGTGAGAGAGCCACCAGATCTAGAATAACACAACCTTGCCACCGTAGTCCAAGAGAGAGAATAATTTATGGTTCATTGTTGTAATTTGTAATTTAAATAATAATCTACATGAGCATTGGGGCCCTGATATTAACATCATGATGTCACCGATCACTCCTGTGGAACAGGAATAGCCCCATAACACTACCCTGGGGTACACTTACACAGGCAGGGGTCCCATAACACTACCCTGGGGTACACTCACACACGCAGGGTCCCATAACACTACCCTGGGGTACACTTACACAGGCAGGGGTCCCATAACACTACCCTGGGGTACACTTACACAGGCAGGGGTCCCATAACACTACCCTGGGGTACACTTACACAGGCAGGGGTCCCATAACACTACCCTGGGGTACACTCACACACGCAGGGTCCCATAACACTACCCTGGGGTACACTTACACAGGCAGGGGTCCCATAACACTACCCTGGGGTACACTTACACAGGCAGGGTCCCATAACACTACCCTGGGGTACACTTACACAGGCAGGGTCCCATAACACTACCCTGGGGTAGTGTGATGGGACCACACACAAGAAGATGAAGAGACGACGATCTTTCAGTCCGTCCAGGACCATTCTCAAGTCGATTATCAAGTCACAATCGACTGATTGTTGGTCCAGGACGGACCGAAACGTCGTCGTCTCCTCATCTTCTAGTATGTGGTCTGGTCATCATATCATCAGCAACGTTATTTTGACTCATCGTCTGCATATATCCTCTCCACAGAAGAGGATCTTCATCCATTTTGCGGTCAACTTTTACTGCGGGTTTGATGTGATTTTGTCTATAAAAGCAAAGTGTTTTTTGAAAAATACCTTGATTAAACCTACTAGTTTCTAAAAAGAATTTTGTTCAATTATCTTTTCAACGGGGGAAGGTAAGGATATTGGGTTAAGTATATGTTTTGTAAAATTGCATATATTCTTTCGTATTAATAATTCATATGAATATTTTACAAATGCATAAATACCAGCAAATATATGGTATTATACAAAGAAAATATAATATGTTTTAAAAATAATATATACGACTATTCAGAATAACATACATCGTTATACAAAGCAGTGTATTTACGATAATATATATATTATATATATATATATATATATATATATATATATATATATATATATATATATATATATATATATATATATATATACATAAGAAATATTGAGAAGATTTGAGTTAGAATCATTAATCTTACCCTTTCGGTCATATTCAACAACATATATCTTTAAAAGTATACACGTCACAAAAATACACATAATATATATGCGTTCTATATCATTCTATATCTATATGCAAGCTGTATCATTCATATCACTTGAAACGCATACTGGATAAATTATACATTATATTAATTTATAATATTTCAGGGGTGGAATATAATATAGGTCACTTTACCTAATTTATTATATTATGAATGACTGCATTATGCATCATACAGCCTCCAGTGGGGCTGTATAATACAAGCACGTGTTTGTATTATGCAAAAAAAACAAGTGCTTGGGGTCTACAGATCTTTGTGTTATACAGTGTATGTATTCATTTATGTTGGGAAATATAATAGAATGTCTGTCTGAGGCCAGACGTTCGGGGCTAGCCTCCCTCAGCTACGCACGATGATTGCTGAGGTGCAATGCCCAAATTGGGGGAGACTGGGTTTGGCTTAATTTCTCCAATTAAAATGTGGCAGAATCCCATAGCGACCCCCATGAAACTGGAAGCGAGTTTTGATTTGCGTCGACCCACTAAAATGTAAATCTACTCATCATAGTTTTCCTGTAGTTAGCTGGAGAAATGTGAATGACGTTTTAAAGACGTCAACCCAAGCAGTGCTGGCTACCCAATCTAGTATATATTTAAAAAAATATATACAAATATTGATTATAAAGCAGAAGAACGACTAAACTATAGCAAAGACGATAACTTAGACTGCGTCTGTACAATAAATTATTTCGAGTAAGACAGCTTCAATCTGGCTCAAGTCTTTCAGGTCTCTCCCGAGTGTGATAACTTGACCCCTGCAGGCGATAACTCAAGTCTAGCCGGCGATAACTCAAGTCTAGCATGCAATAATAGTGTGCATGATAACTTTACCCCCTGGAGGCGATAGCCAAGTCGCTCGGGTACCGTAACTTAGTGTGTCAAGTTCGATAATTTAATTTCATGAAGATGATAATTTAAAGTTCGTAAAAATCTATTTGGTGGGGAATTGACTATTGACTCTAATCTTATCACTCCCTTTGTTTTGGTTAGCTTTATCGAGTAGGTTGTTATCTATGCTGTAATGAAAATATACCTTGCTCCAATATTTTTCTCATATCAATAAATTAATAAGTTAGTGTGTATCTCCCTGAGGCTGGGGCTTGGGGCTAGTCTCACATAAATTTTCATAGTAAATACTTTTGGGTACATGCCCAACATGGGTGGGTTGGGGTTGGCATCAGGGAATTAATGCCACTTTACAGTGCCAAAGTTTGCCTGTAACTGTATGTTCGTGACATCACTAACACCAGGTCCACTACTACCATACCTCCTCCCATTTCTCCATTCGTTCTACCATTTCTCCATGCCTCCTCCCATCTCTCCATACCTACCATCTCGAGAGTAATCACCTTCACCAAGAGTAATCAGTAATTTGGAACGTGGCAACCTATTGCTTTTAACCCTTAATTTTACCCCTTAACAGTTTCCCTATCTCTCCTTAAGCATTATGCATCTCCACTAACCATTACCTGTCCCTCATATACTCACTATTACCTATCTCCACTAGCTCTATTAAACATTACCTATAGCCTTAATAAACCACTAATCATTTCCTATCCCCACATATCCCAACTAATCATTACCTATCCTCCTAACAATTTACAATCCCCCATCATCCACCTAGCCACCAAAGTGGAGCGCCACTGTGTCCCTCCCCTCCCCCCTGCCCATACCTCACAATACCACCAGCCAAATATTTACATGTGTTGGATGCCTCAGCGACCTGTCTGACCCGAATACAAATCAGGTCCTCCACTGTTATTTAAAAATACCTCATTTAGCAAGGGTACAGAATCAAATAGCATTGACATCATAATAGAGAAGAAAAACCTGGAACTGTCATCATTATATATTATATATATATAT